TTGGAAACATATAGGGAAATTGGAGGAGAGCTATGGAAAATAGGAATGATCATACTTCATTGTATACCTGTGTGACATTCTCAAAACTAAAGTAAAAACCTTAAAGTATTACAATTAAGCCTAAAAATGTATACTTCAATGTACATTTTGTACTCAGTAGGACATTAACATGTGTGGGAGAGTGATCCAAAGTAAAAAAAAAAGAGTTTGTTGGCAAGAACTCTTTTTATGTGGTTTGTACATTGGGTTTGTACACCAGCAAGCTTTCTCTAAAGCACCAAGTAGGGTTTCTGTGCCCCCTACAGTAAGGAAATTAGAAAAGAAAGGCTATTTATTGTATAGTCTACTTACCTTCCTTCTCAGTTCCCAACAGTGTTCTACCTGTCTTAGAATCACACAGTTCTTTCTGCCTGTGGCTACTAACAACTTACCCATTTATTATTGCACCAATTTCTTTTCCAATGTATTTTAAGCATTTGCATTATTCATATATAACAAAAGGTACTGGGGTGGGGTGATTATTAAGATGATGACTTTGTCCTCATAGACTCAGAAACAGGATTAATTTTAATTAATCAATTAAATAAGGATTAATTTTAATATCTTGCAATAGTCTCTCTAGACAGTTTGGAACAGAGAATCAGACTTCATAGATATTGCCCAGGGAGGCTTAGAAGTTAATAGTTTGTATCATGTTTTTTATGAAGAATACAAAACTCTATGGCTTTGAAAACCAATCACATTATTTAAGAAACTTTAGAATTCTCAAAAGCTTAATAACAGGAGAGCTAGAAGCTATGCTGTTTATCCTGGTGTTCAGTGTCTCAGGACTGGGTGGTGAGAATATGTCTGTAGATATGTTAGACACCTCTGAAAGACTTAGATTTGCTTTAGTTTTGTAGATGTTCTCCACAGTGAAGAAGGGAGGGATACTTTAGGACAGAAGGTGGCTTCAAAAGCCTTTGGACTACTTCATAAAATCTCTCAGATCTTAAAAATTACCCTTTTCTGGTACAAATTGTTGAAAACTTTCCAATATAGCCTTTCAAGAAGCAGCACGGAAGCCATGTTGACTGTAATTGCACTTGGTAGACACCAGCACAGAAATCTTTCGATTATGACTAAGTGAGGATCTTTGTTTAGGGTACACCGTCCTCTAATCTAAAAGATGACTCAGGGTAAGAGTAATTCAAGCAACAAAATGAAAAGTACAACTGCAGTTGGCTATGTCATAGGAAGTTGAAAGAACATACTGCATCTTAATGGATCACTTTCGAAAGAAAAACAGAAGTAAGGGTCAGTCAACACAGTCATGGAGGGCAAGTGCAAGTAGTGACGTTTGAGACCTTTGGAAGTCCACCCACAATGTAGAAATTCCTTTCTCACTCAAATTAGAATGGACATCACCTGTAGATCTACATCTTTTCTTCTGTAAACTTAGAAAATAAAATAATTCCATTGGTTGCAACCTTTAAACAACAGTGTACACAACGTACTGCTCATTCTTTGAGGATTCTTCATCAGAAGGTGCCATCCCCTTTCATGCAAATGCAAACAAACTTACAACTAGACTTTAAGGGTTTTTTTCTTTTACTAGAATGAAACATTTTATATTTGGAAAAATACAATTATTAGACTAAGGGGCAGGAATGGGGGGCTTAAAGTTCTCATCTAATAGTTACGTGGGAGCAATGCTTTATCTAATTTTGTTCATGATTGAAGATATGAGTGACAGTGAAAATTGATTTCTTTTTGTCAGCCGCAATGAGCTACCCTTCATTCAATGTGTTGTCAGCCGCAATGAGCTACCCTTCAGTGTGCTTTGTTTAACAGAAATTGCTCCTAGACTCAAACAAGCAACCTTTTTCCGAATGTGACTTCATAAGAAAACAGCAGAGCAATATGAAATCCCTTCAGTTATTAAGTCACATATAAGAGTTCCCTGGGTTCTATTTTCAACTAATACAAAGCCCTGATGGCTGCAGAAAGAGCATCCAGGTTAAATATAGCTGTCATGGTAAGGAGTTTACCTGAAGAATGGACACACGGTGGTGAATGGTGACTCACCCTGCCCTTTGTTATCAAAGTGAGTTTCAGAGAAACTTCATATCCAGGTTTCTTTCTCCAGGGAAATCAGCCCTGGACATTGGACCTCTGCCCTCGGCTAGATGGGACCATCTTTATGGATGCATTTCAGAAGGGCTTTCCCCATGGTAGCCTCTATTTCATAAAGTTGAGATATGGCCTCAGATTGTCCAGTCTAGAGTCAAAAAAAAGAGAAACTAGTAGGAAATATCTATTTTCCTAAGGGAAAAACCATGACTGCTTTGTGCCATGTAATCTTGGCAGCCAATATTTTAAATGGGATACAACCCCTTCATGTGTGTGTATGTGGTGTGTGTGTGTTTGTGTGCATGTGTGTATGTATGTGTGGGCATGGTTTCTGGATTCTTTATGCATAAGTTTTGCATTAACAATACATCCAGTAATAGACTGAAATATCTGGAAATATGTATCTGTGTTGAAAACAGACATACATTCTGAACAACACATTATAATTGTTAGTGTTGAATTTGCATTGAATTTGATATCATAAATAAATGACAGATGTCTTAAACTATTGTATAAAAGTATAGAATATGTGGTCAAGAAATAAGAAAATAATATGTCATTTGCTGTAAGAGTCAGGAGCAATTTTGACTTTGATATCCTGAGGGTTCTGAAATCTACTTTCCACAGACCTTAAGGGACAGCTATATTTCATGATCACATTTGTTGTAGCGCAACAGCTTCTAAAGCTGTGTCTTCTGTCTGGGGCCATAGAAGTCATCCGACCTTCCATGTCAGTGTTTTTGTGACAGGTATTGAGACATCAAACGTACAAGGCATCCTATACAACTTAATTGATGTGACTCTGTGCAATCACGTGAAATAGATTTTGTGACTTTCATCAATTTGTAGGCTCCCCTGAGACACCACAAAACTTATGTGTTGATGTCAAGATGATGTTGTGGATTCTGGTCCATAATTGTAACCACTTTATGATTCCATTCCATAACTTTCTTTTTTTAAAAATTTATTTTATTGAGCTCTGCATTTTTCTCTGCTTCCCTTCCTGCCTCTCCCCTCCCCTTCAACCCTCTCCCATGGTCCCCATCCTCCCAATTTACTCAGGAGATCTTGCCACCTGGAAACAACCTAAATGCCCCTAGACCAAAGAATGGATAAGGAAAACGTGGTATATTTACACAATGGAGTACTACACAGCACAGAAAAATAATGACATCTTGAAATTTGCAGGCAAATGGATGGAACTAGAAAATATTTCATATTTTCTAAAAGTTCTTTGATTTTCAGCTTGAAAATAAGAATATATTTAGAGAATTTTTCTAATTATACCTAGGAATTCTTAGGAAATTTCCACTATTGAAATACTAGTTAGTTGTAACTTTGGGATAATTTTTAAAAATGTCACCTTTCTGGTAAATATAGAGTTGACAGATAGTTGAAAAGGTTTTAAATTGTGAAAAATTACTTAAAATAATAATACAAGGGTTTTTTCTGAATGCAAAGTATTTGTTGATATTGTTTCATTCAATATATACTGACCAAGCTCATTATTCAAATATCTAAAGAAATATATATATATATTAAGTGAATGGATTTGGTTGACATGACAGATTTATTAAAAAAGGACTCTGACAATGAGGACAAAGCAGTCATGCAATCCTAAGGAGACAAGAATATATCACCTGTTGAGTATAGCGAGAAATATGAGCAGATTTTGTTTTATTTTAGGGTATGCTTTTGGAAGAGAGAACAGATACACATGCTTGAGGAGAACTCTTGAGGGAAATGGCTTATACCTAGAAAGACACTGGGGAGTTTTAGTCATTGTCAACAGAAGCTTGGGACTAACATTATTTGGTCACAATAAATGCCTAATGTTATATTTGCTGATCTTATCAAAAATAAAAGCCCTGAGCTAGCCACAGACCACAATCCTAAAATGACATTTTTACTTTCTTTTACTTTAAAAATATTTTTTGGAAATATCTAAGTGACAAAACTATTAAGTTTTCATTGCAAATACTTTCATTTGCATTGCTTTATTAAGGTTTGCTTTGTTTTATATTATTTTATTTTTATTATTTTGTTAGATGCCTGTTTGTTATCTAAGGAGAAAGAGAGAAAGAAAGAGTGTGGATTTGGAAGAGAGATGAGGGGGGCAGATGGGACATGAGAAACAATAATCAGAATATACTGTATACAAAAAAATATGTTTTCAATAAAAGCAGAATAAAGTATTTTAGGCATCTGGGTCCCTTGTTGTATAAAGATATCTCTAGTCAGTCAACTTTTTTTTTGTCTTAGCATGGATTTCTTTTTTCACATCCATTTTAAGGTATCACTCTTTGTTTCTTCTAGCAATTATTTTCATGAATTTATTTAGAGTCCGTTACTATGCCAACAGACTTCCTGTTGATACTCTTGATCAATTTCAGGTCTTTCTTTTTCTTATAGAAAGGACTTATTGGTTTCGACCATGAACTATCATTACACTGAAACTGGAGCAGAGACTTTTGGGATCTCATAAATAATGAAGCTAATTTCCACACTAAAAATATTGAAGCTATTATTTAAAATACTGCATTTTTGGAATTCAGGGGATTGATCAGAGGTTAAGATCATTGCTGATTTGGGAGAAGACCTGAGGTCTCAGACCTCAAATAGTGCAGCTCACAACTGCTTGTAAGTCCCAGCTCCAGGGGACCTGAGCCTATCTTGTAGCCTCTACAGACACCCAAGACATGTGGGCACACACACATACACCCACCCACACATACTGATGCACACACAAGCACACACATAAAAGAAAAGTAAGATAAACCTTGAAATATATTTTGCTTCTAAGCTTTCAAAATACATTTTCAAGAAAATTTTCTTAATAATGAATTAATTCCATATTTCTCTTTTGGTTTTCCATACATATTTTATAGTAGTTGGGCCGCTCTTACAGATCTTCACGATTTCCAGCCACATGCATGACGGGGACACAGTCTGAGCAGCAGCTGCACACCCCATCATCTCACACGATAGATCATCGCAACAGAGGTAAACCTTTGCAGATGCACGCTGATTTAATGAGTCAATGAATATTGCATGAGCTCTTGAGTATTTGGATTGTCATAGGCTATGTATGAAGGAGATGATTTTGGAGCGTTTAGTGCTAGGACTCGAATATGCTTCCCAAAGCTTCTGGTTAGATAGGTTAGAAATTCAAACCCTGGTGCGACAGTGTTGAGAGGGATTGGGTACTATGCAATTGGGTCATCTAGGCTTTGCTGCCATAAATGGATTAATGTCATTATGTTTCGGACAGGATTGACAACAAGTAGGTGCTCTATTTTTGTTAGCCAAGTGATCCTTTTCCAGATGCAGGCTCAACCCTGGACTTCCTAGTTTCCAGAGAAAGTAGCTGTGTAAATTTCTGTTCAGTATACATATTCCAGTTTGTTGTACTTTTGTTGCAGTGGCATCAAACAGACCAAGACCCTTAGGCTCAGTGTTCTTCTTTTCATAAAGGTAGCCATGCTTTTGTTCGTTGGTTTGTTCTTTTGTTTGTTCCTTCCTTCTTTCCTTCCCTTTTATTTCCTTCTTTTGGAACTTGGAGAATACCTTTTTCTCTGAGTTGGAACTCTGTTGTAGTGGAGAAGCCATGTCTAAAAATGCTAGATGAATACTAAATACATTGATTTATATTATGAATATGTAAGACATTGTAACTCAGTCTAATAAAAAGGCTTTGGAATTATAAAAAGATGATTTCCATAGAAATTTAACTTTGTGTTCAATTCTAGTTGCTATAAGGCATCCTAAGCTGCAGTGTGTCTGTGACAGAACCGCAAACAGTTGACTGCTTTAGGAATTAATAGTGATTGAAATTGTTTGGCCTAGAACATGGAGCAGTAGGGGATAGATATTTCAGAGCAATAGTGTCATGATGAATGAACTAAACAAACATTTAATTAAATAATACACACAGAACATCTTTGATTTATTTACTTAGCAGTAATAACAAAACATTGATTGCTAGGCTTTCACGTGGAACTCACACATAGAGACAAGCTGCTAAGACTAATTTTTTATTTGTCCTTAGATAGCATATACCTACCATATTTTCTGAGCCATTATATTTTAGTACTTACTATGCATGTATTAGCGTTCATTCACACAGTAAAAGTGCTCACTGAAAAACTACAGATATTTAAGTAGAGAACTAAGATTTACAAGTAGAAATTTCATGTGCTAACACACATGCTGGAAGATTCCAGTAAGTTTAAAATGGAAGCCATTTAAATGAAGAGCACACAGTGAATAATTCCCAAGAACCTGTGTTTTGAAAACACTGGACAATGTCTCAGAAAATAGTGTCAGCATGAGAAGGAAGCTCACAGAGAAGGAAGGACTAGCTACCTATCTGGTATTTTAAATGTAAAGAAAGGTAATAAAATCCTAAAGCTGCAGACATATGACCAAATAATACTATCCCTCATCAATATTCTTATTTTTATTAGAAACAGTGTGCTGTGATTAAGGAAAGCTGGATTCTCGTATTGAACTACCAGATACACAACTTTCTCAGTTTTTAATGGCTCCATGGCATTAGGTCATGTCTCAGTTTCTCCCTCTGTACAAAGGAAATTCTAATAGCATTTTCTTAAAATAGCAACAAGCATTTCAAAGTGGGGTGGTTACCCTTCATTGCCAACTTGAGTGGATATGGTTACCTAGGAGATGGGGAGGTGTACTGAAGAATGATTAATAAAAACTCAGGGAGACAAATTGGGGTTTAACCTGAAGGTCAGGAGAGCAAGCAGCCAGCTACTGGCTCTTACCTCGACCTTAGTCTGAAATGGTGATCCTGCCTCCAGGAATCTCAGAATGAGACTGAGCCTGATAACTGTCTCCTCATGTTTTATAATCCTCTCTAGTTCTGGGATTAAAGATGTACACCACTGCCTGGTTTCTATGGCAAACTAGTATGGCTAACTGGGATTAAAGGTGTGTGTTTTTGTTGTGTGGTCTATAATACTGGTCAGTGTGGCTGCTTTACTTTTCTGATCTTTAGGCAAGTTTATTTACTAAAATACAAGTGGAATGCCACTCCAGTGTACTGCTCTATGGGTCTAGAATGGCTTTCTGAGGGAGGAGGGAATAGTGAAAGGAAAACACTCACTTTGTGTATGGAGAACAACATCCTATGAGGTAGATTCAGAAATAATAAAAGGGAAAAAGAGCCATCTTTCAGACTGCCACTACATGTCTTCCTGTAATTCCCAACTCCCCGTGGTGTCATGACTGTTTCCACAGTTTTTTCTCTGCCATAATCGACTGGAGGCCTCTATGACATCATGAATGCAAAAAAAAAAAAAAAATTGCAGTATGTGGACCTGTCAGGCAATTTAGTAACAGAGACAAAAGTAACTCATACATGCATTAACACCTCTAACATCCCATAGGACAGATGTTAGTCTGGTCAGCTTCATGCTTACCCTTTCTTTCCTAAAGTTCCACAGTTGATGGACAAGAGTGACTCTAGCCTCAGATCTGGGATCACACACAAGCCCTTGAGTTCCTTTCAGGCCTTGTGTCCTCTGAACGTTTTTAAAGATGAGCTAGGCTTTGTGCCTGGAGTCAGTACTAGCCTGAATTCAGAAACAATATAATGTTCATGTAGAAGCTTCTCTTAACTCAAGACTCATAAACTAAAATCAAAGGGTCCATGGGAAAATTCAGAGATTTTCTTCTATATCATTTGAGTTTTATTTTCTCAATTGATCACAATAGTACTTAGAAATTAAATACTCAAAAACTGCATTTGTGGTATATGTAGGTAAGATCCTTGAGAGAAAAATTAAGACTAGAGAAGATTATAACAGTAGAGTCTTTGATTGCATTTGTGGATTTATTAGGCAGAGGAAAAGGGATCTGAACACGTGTGCTCTGTCTTGCTGTGAGACATCCTGTACTACAATACTCGGACTTGAGGCTCTGCATCTTCCATTATATTACATGTATATTTTCCATGAATTATCCAGTCCTTGATATTTAGTTACAGAAACAAAACAGAAAAAGACAACAGGAAAAGATAGTATGGTCTATTTAGAGCAATGGTTGGTTCTGGATTTCACATGAAATTTTCCAGCAATCTTTCGTGGAATGAATTGGTTCACTGGTTCTCAAGGCACTGCAGTTGTGTACTGGGGAATTTCAGTTACTTCATGCTCTGTAAGTGTAGGTAAGGTCTTTATAAATGCGGACAGTTTGCTAGTCTGCATGAATTCTTAGTCCTCTATTGGGCATCCATGTAAGTTACAGATTTTTATTTTTATTTCTTTTATAAGTAACTGAACTCTGAACTCAAAAAAGTACAATGCTTTTTTTGTCTGGCTTTGGTAAACAAAGATTTTATGGAGATGCAAATAGCATTAAAAAAAGACTGAACTTTGTTAAGAACTGAAGCAAATATTCATCATTTCCCAAAGTCATGACATCAATGGCTTTCTGTTTCTTTTTTTTTTTTTTTTTTGGTTTGTTTGTTTGAAGCAGCATTATAAAACCCCAAATAATTCACATTTATATGATAGAATGTGTAGCAATTTTAGAATGACCTACAAAAGGAAGCATCTCCTGATTTTATCATGGAATCTCCTGTGGTCAAGTCTGAACGTTAGCATAGTGGATGCATAGGACGGGTGACAGTTTCATTGTGTTTCCTTCATGCTACCATAAGATGTGATGCTTATTTCTTTCTATATTTAAATTGTGACTAGTAGATGGCAATAACTGTGGACTCTAAATCAGGAGACTAAAGTGGCATAATAAAGAGTAATTATAAAAAGAAAGTATTGAATCTAATGGAATCAAGACCAAAAGTTTAGCTCTATTCTTAAGTGCTCTTAAGAATAATTCTGCCCTTAATACACTCTTTTCTGTATAATAATGTCTTCTTTTTCAGAATTTTCATAGTAAAAATTATAGTGTGTGTGTGTTACTATGGTGAGTGATGGACCATCAGTGAAGAATCACTTACGGACTTTAAACTTAAATTAATGCATACATTGCTTGTGCATTCACTAGCTCTTAATGAAAAACCACCTAACCAAAAATCAGATACTAGAGTCATTTGTTGATTTATTTTGTTTTAATTTTTGGAAATGATTTAAGAATATCACTACACACAAGAGCTTATTGACTATTCGTAGTGGAATGCAATGATGTTTCTAGACCTTAACAACTTGATTATTAACCAGAAGCATGATCACAACAGTCTTGCAGTAAAGCATTTGTAGGTTTGCTTTACAAAAACAACATTCCATCAGAAAAATCACCCTCCGTTAGCTGTCTCTATCAACATGCTTCTGCAAACCGGTGCACAAAACTTCTAAATTTAAATCTTTGCAGTAATATGAAAGACTGTACACTTGCGTTTGTATTTCCAATTCTGATAATAGTTTTATAAATGAAAACAAAGGCAATAAAAACCAGCCATTGAATGTTATGAAGCAATCATTACAGAACTGTGGAAAATTGATTATATGGAACATCAAAACATATTAGAATTGACTTTATAAAAAATCTTATTAAGGAAAACACTATTGGCAAAGGGAGGAATATGGAAACAATAGAAATATACATGACAGCTAGTGAAATAGAAAATGGAATATAAATGTCATATTAAAATGTGAACTAATAAAACCTATATTCCTTGCTTATATTACTATGTGAGCATTTTAATGGAAAGAAAAGTCTTCATGCAGCATAGAGCGACATTGGTGTCTGCAATTCATTTTCCACGATTATTAGTGAATAATTACATTCCATTTCAGAACCATCCTTCCAAACATTTGTACTTGATGTGCCCCTTCTGAGGTATGGTATTTTATAGCAATGCTGTGTATGTGTATTTTGGGCGTGGGAATTGAAGTCTTAGAATGAAAAAACACAGAATATACATTCTTACAATGCATACTAGGGAGAAGAGTCAAATTTAATTTTTTTGTTGAATTATTGATTCAGATAAGACCTTTGTTTTATAATGAAGCCAGAAAAATAATCACACTTGTTTATTTGAGGGACTGTATTATTTCTGGCAAAACACTTTGGGACTTAGGAGAGAACTCATAAGACAGTAGGGTGTGACCTTGTCTACTACTGTCATGGAAGGGAGTCAGAAGGAGTATTCTATCCTGTGGATCACTGGGTCTTGTTCATAGTTCTGCAATTTCTTACAGACTAAAGTGAGATAAGGCCAAGAATGTGGCCTTCCTTTAAGTAATCAGTCTTCTTCATATGCTTCTCTGTTTGACATGTTTTTCACAGTATATTACTGACAAAAAAATTGTAATCAATGAAGTATGTAGTTGATAAATGTTTCCTGATGATTCTAACACAAACACCTGTGTGAACTCCCCAAGGTTAGGACATCCATCGCCAGCTTTCCTTGGTTCTTTCTCTAGCTAATAATTTAAAGAGATGTATTTATCTTTTATTTCACAGGTTTCAGTATTCTGTCTCCATGTATGTATGGCATCATATGCATGAGGTGGTAGAAGAGGTCAGGCCAGGCCACCTGATCACCTGGAACTGAGTTACAGGAGTTAAGGTGAGTAGCCTTGTGGGTACTAGAAATGGAATCAAGTTCTCTGCAGCAGCAGCCAGTGCTCTTAACTGCTGGGCTGTCCCCCTAGCTGCAACCCAACCCCAGCCGGTCCTTCCCCTGACCATCCCATTCTCTGCTACTCTGATCTACACCATCACAAGTCACCTTGTCTGGTCTTGAACACCCACAAACAATATATAGCTGTGTAACCTTTGTTCCCTGCTCCATTTGCTCAGTCTACACTTTTGAGGTTTGTTCCTCAGTAACTGTTGAAAAAGCCATGAAATTCCATAGTAGTTGAGAGCCCTAATACTACCAATTGTGTAAACTCAACAGAACAAGCTGGCAAAACTCAAATTAAAATGTGGATCTTTTCCAAGTTTAGATTTAGTGTGGTCTAAATTTATAGTTGCAAGGGCAGTGAGTATTGATCAGAGCTGATAGGCACACACAAGTGCAAAGGGCATGCTGATTCTGGAATAAGATTTTAGCTATTTACATCATAACTTGTATAAGGTCTCAGAAACAACAGTTGTCAGAGCCGAAGGTCTTGGGTAGAGCATGTACATCCTGTAACAGCAGTCCAAGTTCAAAAGCCCTAGAGCCAAGAGGGTCACATCTATCTGATGGGCACAGGATTTGCCCACAGCACATTCTCCTGACGTGTTTATTAATCTTTGTTTACTCTTCCCAGATATTTCATAACCAACATGGCTATTTCTCTCTCTCTCTCTCTCTCTCTCTCTCTCTCTCTCTCTCTCTCTCTCTCTCTCTCTCTATTTTTATCAGTTTAATCTGGCAAGAAGTCAGTATTTTAAAGGAAAGAGATCCTACAACATGCAACAACATGAACAGACTTTGAGAAAATCATGATAAAATAAGCAAGTACATTGCTTGATTCCATTCAAATTCATAGACACTGGGAGAAGAATGGCAGCCAAGTGTCACAGGATGGGTGTGATGGCAATCACCCACCACACGTTTTCTATAAATAAAAATATATATTAGAGATATCCTATAAATGCCTGTAAATATATTGCTTACTAACCTGAAACATCTAACTATATAATTTTATTATATAGTTTTTCCAAATATTTATTTTTATATAATTTTAAATTCAATTTTAAGGTATCATACAGAGGAATAAGCATTCCATACATACTTGTCTTGGTTGATCTCCTTCCCTTGCTTTTAACCTCAGTTTTTAAATAACAACTCCATGAGTAACTAATTTTAAAAATTTAAAGCTTACTTTTGTGGACAAAAAAATTAAACCTCAAAGAAAACCAGCAGCCAATAAGTAACCACTTTTGTAAAGCTTAGGGGATAAAGTATGATTAATTAATTTATTCTGTTATAGTAAGAAAGTAGGACTTAGAAGCTCTAGAATATTTATAAACCAATTTTATTCATTGTGATTTTCCATTATTAAAGTTAAATGACACCAGCAAAATTCAAATATTATGTTAACCACATTTAATCTTTTATGAAATATATGTTTTTGTAACTGCATATTATAGGGGAAAACCAATCCATATTGTTTAATATATTAAATTAGGGAACAGTTAAAATGCTTTAGGGAAGGCCTTGGGGGATGGCTCAGTGTGTAAATTGATAAGAACACAGATGTGTCAACCTTAATTGATCCTCCGGACCCACGAGAAGGCAGGCATGCCAGGCAATTCATTATCCTGTCTCTCCTGCGGCAAGTCAGGGGACAGAGACAGGAGAGTTCCTGGAAGTCCCCAGTCCAGCTAGCCTGCCATATGCAGCAAAAAAGGACAAGAGCCCTTGTACCAAACAACATGGAAGGTAAGAGGGGAGACACAGCTTGTCCAGCTTCCACATGTGCACATGTGCACTTGTACTTCCACAAATGCTGTATGGAATGAAAGCCCAATTGGACGAGTTGTAGTAGTTTCCCTGTTTCATTCATTGTAGCAGTATTGGAGCCCATGGGAAAAACAGTACCAGGAAATGTATTTTCCATCTTGCTTTGCAAAGTTCCATCTGTCTGATGCACAACCTTCACTCCTTCTATGCCTCCAACCAGCCCCACCACCTCCTCCCCATCCCACCTCCGGTACTATTCCGCCAAGTGTCTGTTTTAATATTGATGATAGGATTGGCAAAATGCATGAGAATTCAAGATGTCTGTGTTAATAGCCACGAAGGAGCCAGGATTTTCCCGAGCAGGTCTGTCTTCTTCATGTTCTGCCATTTGAATCTAAGGTCACTGTCCCAGTGGGGGTTAAGAAGACCCAGACACCCCTCACTCTGTTTGAGCAATCGATGGAGACCAAACAACTGCTGTGTTTGCCCACATTTTCTCTTGCACAGGGACACAATTTCAGTCTCTACTCAGAAGGACAGCTCTGATTGCTCTCACTGGGAATAGCGCCGGAAGTGGGACGGTGATGCTGCACCCCTGACGCCAAACTCAGGGCTTTCCAGGCTCCCCAACAGCCAGAATACTGCATAGTGGATAGACCGAAACAAAATGGTCATGGATTTGTGGCAGCGGTTTTCTCTGTATTTGTGAAAGTGCTGTAGAGAACTAAGACTGCTTTGTCCCATAACGGGCAGATAAAATGAAAAGTCTGGAAATTAGGTAATGCCTCAAGGCCCCATATTCAAATGTATGCTTTTTAGTTGGAGAGTTGGTTCAGCAGTTAAGAGCACTTGTTGCTGCAGAGGACCTGGGTTTGGGTAGTGATCCCGACACTCACAAGGCAGCTCACTATCCGTACCTCCGGTTACAGGGGATCTGATTTCCTCTTCTGACCTCTGTGAATATTGTACACACATGGTGGGCAGGCATATATTCAGGCAAACCACTCATACACATAAAAATTTGAAAAATGTCTTAAACTATGAAATATACATTTTCCAAAGAGACAGTTTGTCTATATATATATATACAAAAATTTATACATATATGCATATATAGACATATATAGTTAATATGCACATTATACGTGTGTATGCGCATGTGTGTGTGTTTGTGTGCCTGTGCATATCAGATATCCAGGTCATCATTAGGACTTTCCTTTCCCTCATACTTACATTGCAGATACAAAAATACTTCCTGGATCCTGTTGTTCTAGAAGCTGACCCCTAAGCGATTCTACTCCTGTTGGTACAGTGACTCCATTATTGAAGGTGTTTGTTAGTGGCTCATAGTTCACAATGCTATTCCTCTGTTTTTGATGCTATTAGGAATAAGTAAGGAAGAAGTTGTGGGGATTCACATTTTGAATATGAGTTGCATTTAGTGGCTTCTAGCTAATTTGTCTCTACTATTAATGGCTATCTTGAGCTAACGGCTCAAGAGCTAATATCAACAAAGCAAGGAAAGGATTTCACTGACTAATCCGTAGAGGATGAAGTTCTTTAATTTTGTACCACTAAATATACAACATGATATTATATAAATGTTGCTTATTTCTTTATTTATTATGTGCTGGCTATTGCTCGTGTGTGAATTCTGCAGTTGAACTACACACCTTCCTTCAAAAATACAGAAATTTAATTGAATAATAAAAATTCAGAAATCTCAAAAGAAACAACTTTTTTTTAAAATCTTGATTTTCTATTTAATTTCTTCTCCTTTTTCCCACTTCCCATTCTGCTCTGCCCCATGGCTGTGACTTATATTACTATGTGTCCATCACTCTAAACCTTACTCGTCTTTCTTCAGTCATACTCGGTTTACGGACATCTATTAGTAATCATACTAAAACCTTGTACCTCTTACAGTGGAGTCTTCTTATATAAACTTCCCAGGGCCTGATCCTTCCCCTGAAAGGAGTGTGAATGTCCCTGTGTCCATTGCCACGCCAAAGGGATATGGATAACAGCTGAGTCACCTTGCAGGAAAAGCACTTAGCTGCTCCCCTCATTGGTGTCCTTGGCAAAGACAAGGAGTCACTGAAGAGGATTCTAATGATTAAACTTGGCTACATGGCATGTCCCTCTTAGAGCAGTGCAATGACCGAGCAAACGGTCTCTTCTCAAAGTACAGAAACATGTTCAACTTGTTTTTCCAATATCTAATTAATTAATAAATGCATGTTGGCTCCTGTGTTAGGGTTTCCCTTTTTGCTTGGCAGAATCCATGCGCTCTTCCTCAGCATGCATAGTTGGCTGGACACTGGCAGACCTCCTTTGGAATAACCCTGCTGTAGGAAGAGGTTCAATTAACATAATGCAGCCTGGCAGTACTGCATGGCATCTGGAAGCTGAAATCCACTCAAAGGCCAGGCTGTTCAGTATCCTCAGCCTCACTCATGTCTCCTGCAGGGTAGGGGGAGAGTCCTTCTGTCCTGAGCTGTAGGGGGCCTGTCTCATGCTTGCTTTCCATAGTGTGAGATCCAGGCTTCTGGCAATCTGGCCTCTCCCTAGGTTCTTTGCTCCAGTCCAGTAATGGATTTTCTTTTCTCTGCTGCTTCTCTCAGCAGAATGAACCAACCCCTCAATTACCCCAAAGTTGGAAGCCGAAGCCCCTGTTTGTCTTTATTTTCTGCTTCTTCGTATTTCTCAAGTGGAAAAACTGCAGTAACAACAAAAGCCCTTCCTTCCCGTTGGAAGCCCCAGGAAGCCTGCTAACCTCACTGACTGAACTTACCTACCTCCTCCAGCAAGAGACCTGACACATTCTCCATAATTCTGATGCTTAACATCAAAATAACGCCCCTTTCTTTTTACTGAGCTGATGATTTCATCTTGTAGAAATAAAAGACACCAATTACGAATGGAGAAGAACATTTCTTCTCATGTTTTTAAGCAACCAGGAAAGGAAAAGAATGGGAATGTAGAGGGAGAAGCAGAAAAGTTATAATGTATGTTATACCTGCAGAGAAGTTAGTGTCATCTCCTTAAGAAATAAAGTTGCATCTAAAAATAAGTAAAATCAAGACGACGGTAAAGAAATGATGCTGAAACATCCAAGGGTCAATGGGAAGGTGAAGGAAACCACTTCATATTATAAAACCGGGACGGGG